CGGCGGCGGCGGCGGCGGCGGCGGCGCTGGCCTCTAGCCGGCTCGCTCGCTCCCTCCGCGGTTCTTACACATGTGTTACTGACAGAGCAAAATCCCAACTACTCCCCGGCTCTGCTGCCGACGTCAGCGACCCGCAGCCACTGGGCGGCCGGATTGTTCAGGCGGAATAATAAAACCTGCCAATCCGGGGAAGGACAAAGGGATGACTGAAACGAGATTTGGGGGGCGGGGGAGCGAGGGAGGCGGCGGAGCGGGCCGCGGAAGACGAACGAAAGGGCTGCGATCAGGTGGGGGGGATAAGTCACCCTGGAGCCAGGAACGCGCCTGGGCAGCCCGCGTGGCCCCGATCGCGGGCCCAGACCGGGGAGGGCCACACCGGCCAGACTTCTCGGGGCGCGCGGAGACGCCTCGGACCCCGCACCCGCGCGCGCCCCGGAGGGACTGGCCTCCACCGGTCGCAAACTTCGCATCTTTTTCAGAAATCTTGGCCTCTTCCTATTTGGGGAAGAAAAGTCTGAATCAGGGCGGTGGACTTGCACGCACGCACGCGCGCGCGCGCGCTCCCACACGCACACACAGACGTGCTGTTTTGTGTAATGCACAGTGGTGGGGATTTATGAGCCTTCGTGTAAGTTTAGTTAACAAGGGAACACACAGTAAGGGAAGTTCCTCAGTACTGCCTGATTAGCCCGTTCTTCCTCTCGTACAGATTTAGGCATTTCATAGACTCTTGCCAATTGCTGGTAATACTTCGTTTCCATTCCTCCATTTCAAAGTTGAAGGAAATATTAGGGAGAAAGCCTTTCTCTGCTGCCCTCCCCCACGAGGCACATGAAATACTAAGTTTCTCTTAGCTTCCTGTCCCCCCACTCACCCCCCCCCCTCAGCATTATTCCAAGATTTGCAAGCCTACCTACCTCAGGAGAGCAAGAAATGTTATTTTCTAGTGTAAATCCAGATTCGAAGAGTGTTTTAGGGTGCTAGAATGGAGAGTCTCTTTCCAGGGGCTAAAAGCTCAACTTAGGTCCTCGAATGCCTTAGTGGTTTATCTTTACTCTGCCAAATAGATTTAATAAATCTCCAATCTGAGGTTAATATTAGGTCTGCTTATTATTAGTAAGTTCCAGAGAGATTTTTCTGTTGGAAATTATCATGAAAGTGCAAAACCCTTCTGCTAAGTATCATTAAGTAAAACCAGCCTTGTGGGACACGTTTTCATATTGCATTACACACAGTACCGCTAGATTGAATAAAGAAACTGAAGGAATCCCTGCAAGACAGTGCACATGGTGAACACCCACAGTTCTAGCATCTGCTTGGAGGATTTCTGTCCTTTCAACCATCAAAATTAGGGCTGCAGAAGAAAGAATAATTATTGTCTATAAAACCAGACAAGAGGTTGTTTGAATGCCAATTAAAGTACTCATTTCTTTATCTAGCATGTTTAAAATGAGTTAATTTTATTGATTTGTGTTTAACATTGTATTGTTATGATCAACTCATCTTCTGCACCTATAAAAATTTTAATTATTAAAACTATAATACTAATAAAAATGTCCTATGCAGAAAACAGAAGCTGAAGGCCAACACAGGCAGGGTACAGTGGCTCAAGTCTATATGCTTAGCTATGCCAGAGGATGGGCTTTGGAGGATTTTAGTTCCAGGCCAGTCAGAGCAAGAAGTAGAGGGAACGCATCTCAACTAATAAAAAGATGGCAGGCTCCTGTCATCTCAGCTACATACAAAGCATAGCTAGGAGGACTTAGGTCTAGACTGCCAAGGCAAAAGAGAGAGAGAGAGAGAGACCCCCATTTGAAAATGAAAAATAAGAAAGGGCTGGAAGTTATGGTTCAAGTAGTAAAATACCCAGATGAGGCCCTCACTACAAATCCCAGGAGGCAAGGGGAGAAAAGAAATCACCATACAAAAGATGTGAGATTCCTTGAGAGTTAATCAAAGAAAATCAGATAAGGAAAAGTAAGTAAAACAAATTGATTCAAGGCTTTACTTTTGTTAATTATTTTTAATAGTCAAAATTATATGACCAAGATTGGCCTTCTTTCCTTCCTCCCCTCCTTTCTTGTTAACAGCATCTGACTAGGTAGCACAGTCAGGCTTCAAACTGGTGAATATCCTGCCTCAGCCTCTTGAGTAGCTGGAATTAGAAGTGTATACCACCTAGCTTGGCTGCTGCAGATCTAAATCAGCTACAGTTATGTTAGAATTTGTCTCATGCAAGTAAATTTCCTTCTTTGAGCTTTAAGCCTCACGTCTACAAATGAAGAAGTTAAGCTAAATGTTTTTCATTTTTCCTTCTAAACGATGATTTTCACAAATGAAACAATAACATATCTATATAATTAGTTACAGTATTTTCTAAAGTACACTAAAATGCAATTTTAATTCTAAAATGCAATTTAATTCTAAAATGCAAAAGTCAGAAATCTGGACAGGCACATGTTCAGATATCACTGACTGGTTCTCAAAGGATTCAAATCATTTCTACGGGAGAAGAGAGAAGGATTTGAATATAGATCTCTAGGGTAGAGGAGCCTATATGTTTGGAGATGGTTTCAGTGTTTTGGCTCTATTGTGGAGTGAAGTCTTTACATTCACTACACATGTCCCTGTAGGTTGGAGTAGGTGAGAGTAGCTTACCAGAGAGCTTTATTTGCTGACTTTGTGGTTATAGAAATACAAAAGTAATAATGGATAACATCTCTTCTGAGGGGTAGAAGAGTAAATCCATTCACCATAATCAAAATTCAGGTGTACTTTAACCACAGCGCCACCTCTGGGTAGTCTTTATTTTTGCATGCATAGCATTTAAGCAGCCCTTTCTTCTCTGGGCAGCAAGACTTCATGGTCTTAAAAAGGCTGCCTGCCTGAGTGATCTACTCATGTTCTATCTTTTATATATAGAACATGGTGCTATGCACACAACCTGTATAAACATACTCACATTCAATATGGGTAAAGGCAGTCTGAAAGAGAGTATTCTTCAAATAGATAAAACAGTGGTTCAAGAGACAACCTAGCACAAAGGAAAATTGTCAAACTCAATGTTACAGTGTGCTCATCTGTTTGAGAAAATTCTGCTAACACATTTATTATTCAGCCAACTCACTTAAAATTAGGAATAAAAGTAAAGGACAGAAAGCCAAATTGTTCCTTTAATTTTGACTGAATGTAGGAACTGTATCAACCCTAGCTGTATCAACCCCCTCCTTCCTTCTACTTGCTCTTAGGTATTTGTTCATACCTTTCTTCCCATTCAAGTCCTTCAGCACTCAGTCATAATCATTCCCTGGTCTTCTGAGAATTTCCAGAGAGGACCTAAGCTGCTTCTGTGATGATTTGGTCAATATCACCTCCCAACAAGTGTCTCCCCCTCTTTTTTTTTTCCAGGGAAAACAAAATTGGTGCTATACCATTTGAGCTATGCCTCTGTGCCTCTAGCCTAGCATTTTCTTGTTAACTGGAGCTGAAGTCTTATGGACTTTCTGCCAGGGCTAGCTTAGAATCTCAATCCTCCACATCTTCAATCTTCTGAGTAGCTAGGATTACAGGCAAGAGCCACTGGTGTCCAGGACAATCCCTTGAAATCACAAAATTCCTGCAAAGTGAGGCTGGAAAACTTGAGCCTGAAACAACAACTCTACAGTAAAAAAATTGTGGGGAAAAGAAGACAAAATTATGGTTTTTGTAGGTTGGACAAGGAGAACACTTAACAGTAGTAGGGCTGAGGAAAGCGGCAGTATTTAAGAGTAGGGATGTGTGTGTGTATATATATATATATATATATTACATATATACATATATGTATGTGTGTGTATACATTACATATATATGTATATGTAATGTATACACACATATATAAATATACATATATATTTATATATTACTTACCTGTAGTCCCAGCTTTTGCAGGGCTGATGCAAAAGGATTACTTAACCCAAGGAGTTTGGGGGGCAGCCTAGGTGAGTAGAGCGACCCTGTTTCAGAACAAAATCATTGGGGTTTATGTGTAACTCAACATTTCTGTAAGACTACATTTCAAGGAAGTATATAATGACTGTAAAATATTAAAAATAGTACTTCAAGTTTACTGACTACTTACGTTTGTGTTTCTCATGATCCCTTATAAATATACCATTGAATAGTTCAGGTGCTTAAAAAAAATAGATAGTTGGCTTATTACAACATTCTTTTTTTGTTTACTTAAGCAATTTCAATATTACACTTGGTAAACGCCCATCAGAGTATGGCAATTTTTAGAAAGTTTTATTTTAATTCTTATTTTATAGGATACTGTAAAAGCATAGTGAAGAAGTCAATTTTGTAGAAATAAAATAGAAAGTGGCTGAGAGAAAAAACAGTATTAATATTGCAACTAGAAATACAATTTCAAATATAGCTTTTGCTTTTAATTATTCTGTTTCATTAGAACATTTGAAACTCACAGGGGTAACAGAGAAGGTGAAAAAGATGATGGGAAAGAAGAAAATACATCTGTAGGCCAGCATTTTGCCTGACATTGCAAGGCAACTTTAATATAGTAGCAAGAAATGACTCATTTTCTTCATACTGGTATGTAAGGGTAAGAGCAAGACTTTAAAACTCCCCTAAATCCGCCTCAGAATGGTAGGCAAATCCCGATATATTGAATATATTTCATAGTGTTGATTTCGTAGGAAAAAATATTTGGCTTGT